AAAAAAAAAAAAAAAAAAAAAAAAAAAAGATGTGGACCTCGACCCCGATCTCGACACTCTCATATGCGCGGTCGAGCAGTTGCCACGCGTCACCACAACCACACACACAAGCACGAAAAGGAAAAAAGTTTTATTTTTTTTTGCATGATTTTATCGTCGATTGATCGATTGAGTGATTGACTGGTTGTCGGGGGGTCGGCTCCCCCCGCAGTGTGCACACACACACACCAATCAATTAATCAATCAATAATTCTTTTTTTAAAACTTTTCTATTGATTGATTGATTGATTGATTGATTGATTGATTGATTGATTGATTGATTGATTGATTGATTGATTGATTCCCGAGCCGTCCGCAATGCTGACGCAACCGCAATCACGAGGGGACCCGACTAACTGGAATGCCAATCCGACCCGACCCGAAGAGACAGATTGATGCTCATCCCGACGAGAGCAATCAATCAATGAATCAATCAATCAATCGATCAATCAAGGAGTTGATTGATTGATTGATTGATTGATTGATTGATTGATTGATTGATTGATTGATTGATTGGTCGATTGATTGATTGATTGATTGATTGATTGATTGATTGATTGATTGATTGATTGATTGATTAATTGATTGATTGGTTGGTTGATTGATTGATTCGCGAGTCGGCACCAATCGATCAATCAATCAATCAATCAATCTTCTTCTTCTTCTTCTTCTTCTTCTTCTTCTTCTTCCCCTGCTGTTGTCGCCGTCATCCCGATGCAGTTTACGGGGAAGCTCGACACGTGGCAAGATCGCCACGTGCCAAGTTGGCCACGTGCCAAGTGGCCCACGTGGCAAGTGGGCCCTGCCTGTCCCCTCCACCTCCGCTTCCGCCGACTTCCCCACCTCCTCCGCCTTGGCTTCCGGCTCCGGCTCCGCCTCCGCCTCCCCCTGCATGTCCTCCTCCACCTGCGCTTCCGCCGACTTCTCCACCTCCTCTGCCTCGGCTTCCGGCTCCGACTCCGCCTACGCCTCCCCCTGCGTGTTCTCCTCCACCTTCGCTTCCGACGGCTTCCCAACCTCCGCCATGTAGCCTTCGGCTCCGCGTGCGCCTGCGTCGTCAGCTTCGCGTCCGCCTTCTTCTTCTTCTTCTTCATCTTCTTCTTCCCCCGACTTCCCCCCTTGCTTGCACTTTCCCCCCGCTTCCGCTTCCGCTCGCTACCTCCCTCTCCCACATGACAAGATCGTCACGTGGCAAGTTCGCCACCTTGCCCTCCACGTGCCAAGATCGCCACGTGGCAAGTTTGCCACGCCTCCCCCTCCCACGTGACAAGATCGCCACGTGGGAAGTTCACCACTTCCCCTTCCCATGTGCGAAGATCGCTACGTGGCAAGTTCACTACCTTCGCTTCCACTTCCCGATCGCGATCCCGATCCCCTCCACCCGCCTTCGCCCACCTTCGCCGACCTTCGCCCACCTCCGCCCACCTTCGCTCCACCTGCCCACCTTCACCCACCTTCGCCCACCTCCACCCACCTCTGCCCACCTTCGCTCCACCTGCCCACCTCCACCGACCTCTGCCCACCTCCGCGCACATCGGCCCATCTGCGGTCCACGCGGCCACCTCCTCTACACCCACCTCGGCCCGATTGATTGAAAAGGGGGTCGAAGGATCATCGCGGTTCCCTCCGAGAGAGAGAGAGAGATTCCCCGGCCCCTCCGCTGCTTCCCCCTCCCACATGAGAAGATCGCCACGTGGCAAGTCCGCTACCTCTGCTTCTGCTTCCCGATCCGGATCCCAATCCCTTCCGCCCGCCTCCGCCCACCTCCGCCGACCTTCGCCGACCTTCGCCCACCTCAGCCCACCTTCGCTCCACCTCCGTCGACCTCCGCCCACCTCCGCTCCACCTCTGCCGACCTCCGCCCACCTCCGCTCCACCACTACCGACCTCCGCCGACCTCCGCCCACCTCCATCGACCTCCTCTCCACCTCCGTCGACCTCTGCCCACCTCCACCGACTTCCGCTCCACCTCCGTCGACCTCCGCCGACCTCCACCGACCTTCGCTCCACCTCCGCTCCACCTCCGCTCCACCTCCGTCCGCCTTCGCCGACGTCCGCCGACCTCTGTCTTCTCCGCTTTCAATCAATCGATCAATCAATCAATCAATCAAGCGATCAGTGATTGATCGATTGATTGATTGACTGATTGATTGATTGATTGAAATTAACAAAAAAACTTGTTAAAAAAAAAACGTTTCCGGCCCCGCTTGCGCCTCCACCTCCGCTTCGGCCACCCGCTTCCAATGAATCAATCAATGAATCAACGAATCAACCAATCAACTTCGGTTCATTGGTTGATTGATTGATTGATTGATTGATTGAAAAAAAAAAAAAAATACTGCTATCTCGAACACGTGGGGACGGCACCCGATTCGACTCAATCAATCAATCAAACGGCACCCGATCCGACTCAATCAATCAATCAATCAAGATTGGTTGATTGATTGGTTGGTTGATTGATTGATTGATTGATTGATTGATTGATTGATTGATTGATTGATTGAAATTAACAAAAAAAACTTATAAAAAACCCCTTGAAAATAATTAAAAAAATTTACTGCTATCGCGAACACATGGGAACACCAATTGTCACTACTTCTATTATTGTTTCTGCTTCGCCGACGGCTATGGCTACTCCGTCTCCTGTCAGTTGTGTTGTGTCCGCTCTTACGCCATCAAGAAACCATTTGCATGTCCATACAGGGCCCTTGGAACAACCAAATTCTTTTAATTTTAACATTACCATTTATGAATCTCTGGAATCTATTGGTCCTAAAAAGACACTTGCACACCTGTCCTATCTTAACAGTTCTCAGAGGGTGCAAGATATTGTGGAAGCAGCAGCGGAGTTGAATACGAGCATGAACACTTGGAAATGTGTGGATGCTGCAATTAATCTCGATTACAATCGACAAAGACAAGGTCGATTCGTAACTTTTGAGGAGTATCATTGCAAAGTGTTGCAACAAGTTTCTGTTCGTGAGGTGCTGCAAGAGTATCGTTCCAGTGAAGGAAGTTGATTGGTCTTATAAGAGAGATAGGAAGAGAGAGATGTTGATTGAGCGGTCGTCCAAGCGTTGCCTTAATGGCAAATTTTTTTATGGTCAGCTTCGGTTTCGGTTAAGTAATTGCCCTTATAAGAGAGATAGGAAGAGAGAGATAAATAAATGGGGGGGCAGAGAGAGAGAGAGAGAGAAGAAAAAAAATTTGACTTGATATTATTGCGTTTTTTTACGTAAAGGTGGATTCCATTACGCAATAATTGTGCCTCGATCATAATGCGGGCACTTGCTAACTTTGATGGAACGATAAATCCTCACATTAAACTTCTTCTCTTTGTATACTGGTGTTGGTCTTTCTTTATTCTTTGCTCTTTTGTTGCTCTCTCCCTCTCTCTCTCTCTCTCTCTCTCTCTCTCTCTCTCTCTCTCTCTCTCTCTCNAGAGAGAGAGAGAGAGAGAGAGAGAGAGAGAGAGAGAGAGAGAGAGAGAGAGACAAAGAGCGGCATAACGCCGCCCGCCCTAGAGGGCAGGCGGTGGCGCGATAGTCGGTGTTGAGCAGTACATCGATGGGAGGTGGCGGAACACCGCACCAGCGACTGCGACCACAGTCCCGACCACGGCTGCTGCGGTTAGATTCTTGACCGATGCGGTCACCGACTTACAATGGTGGCATTACGCGCGGATCATGAGCGGGATCAGCAGCGGCGGCATAAGTAGCGGGTCGGATTGTCTGCAAGGGACTTTATCGGTGGCGAGATCGAGAGGAGGGCGGATCGAGTCCAGGGTCTGGTCAGGGGGCGGGCAGGTCTGGGGGGAGTGCGTTCATCCCCGTGTCAGATGCTGACATGGTGAAGTTGAGGAGGGGCTCTTGCGTATGGAAATACGTGACGTCGGGGCAGAGGTCCGGGATATGGGAGAAGATGCACGGGGACCGAAAGTTGAGATGCAACCTGTGTGAACACGTCTGGCAGGGGAACGTGTTGAAGGTCGCACGTCACTTTGTTCAGCAGAAGAGATGTCGCGCAACAACGATGCACGTGCTTGTTGACATTTAGAATGACACAGACTACACTTTCGCGCATGAGCAATTGTCATCCATTCTGTCGTACATGGAGGACAAGGGGACCTGGGACGCACGATCAGTTGCGGGTCGTCTCTGGACACAAGTGCCGCCACCCACTGCACCCAGGGACGAGGTGCAGGACGTCGTCGACGAGGTGGAGGAGCGCGAGATGCGAGGACAGGGGCACGACGGGGGTGGTTTGTCAGGCGGTATAGATTTGGAGGGCGAGGAGGTCGTGTTGACTTGGAGTGGGGCAAGGCCGAAGGAAAAGGGGAAGAGGAAGGCAGTGGACGGGGATGACGTTCCACCTGTGCCAGGGAAGAGGGTCCGGCAGAGCCGGATTGACGAGGTTTACGACGCGGAGAAGCAGTCGAAGTTTTGCGACGAGTTTCTCCTGTGGGTGGACGACACGGGCATTTCGTTTAACGCCTTTAGGAGATAGTTTTGGAGGGAGGTCAGGAAGGCATCTGAAGAGATGCCTCGAGGTGTGCGGATGCGACTTCCCTCCTTTAAGGAAATCGGTGGTCTCATGGTTCCTTCGTAGAGGGCTAATGTGGCGGCCTTGGTCAGAGAGGTGCGAGAGGCTTTCGTCTATAGTGGCGCGACCATGTTGCCAGAGGGAAGGAAGTCTCGCGACGCACGACCAATTTTTAACTTCCTCGCAGTCGGCGCCACTGACGCACTACCGTACGCCACCATATGCCGTGATGGTTCAGTCCCCTCGTCTGGCGCCATTGTCTATCGGAGGTGGAGGGCTATCATCACCTCCTTCCCTGCGAAGGACGTTATCGCATTCTGCACGGACTCCACCAGCAACTATGTCGCAGTGTCCAAACTGCTGGCACCCCGACCCTGACGCCCGGTGCCTCACGTGGCTCCCCTGCTCGACCCACGTCTGCAACTTGATGTTGTCAGACATCGGGGCACGAGTGGAGTGGGCAAGGCACACCATCATCCGTGCTCGAGCATTGATGCGATTCATCAAATCGCACGGAGCGGCCGTCGCCCACTATAAGAGGAAGAACCCTCACATTGTCGGCCCAAATACCCTTACAAGGGTATTTGTGCACATTTTTGCATCTCGCAGAAGGTGCGTGTTTTACGATATTCGAGAAAGTGTCCAATTTCTGTATAACCATTACCAACTCTCAGGGGTTGGGAATGAAACGCGCTTCTGATCTGATTAGAGAGTGTGTGGGCATGCACCTCGACGACACGCAAGTGTTTTTAGGTGGGCATCTAGTTATGTTTATGAGAGCAGCGCCCCCGCCTAGTAGTGTGAACTAGAAAAGGGTTGTGAGACGGCTGCAGTCATCGTTGTCATGCGGGGATCCTAGGGGCCCAAGCCGGGGTAGGGGTTTCACCCCCGGATCCCCGCCCCCGCCAAAAAACCCCTGCCCCTGCCCCAACCCCGCCACCCCCGCTCCCAGCCCACACACCCACCCCCGCACCCCGCACCCCGCACCCTCGCCCCCGCCGGCTGTTGGTCCCGCCCTCGGCCCCGCACCAGCAGCTAGCACGGTCCCACGAGTGGTGGGCGTGACCCCCGGGGGGGTCCGGGGTGCGGCATAAAACCCCATTTTTGGGGTTATGCCAATGTGGTGCACGCTCTCGATGCGCACCCCCCACTATTTTTTTATTTTATTTGATTTTTTTTTTTTTTTTTGAGGGGGGGGGTCTGGAGCTGGGGTTGGGGGTGCCCACCCTCGGACCCCCGGACCCCCGCCGGGGCCCCGGGGCCGGGGCTCGATAACCCTGGATGGGAGGACCTCCCCCATCAATCAATCAATCAATCAATCAAACAATCAATCAATCAAATAATCAACCAATCAATCAAGCAGTCAATCAATTAATTAATCAACCAATCAATCAATCAATCAATTAATCAATCAATCAATCAATCAATCAATCAATAAAAAAAAAATCAAACAATCATTTTTTTTAATTTTTTTTTTTGTAATTCACACAACGAAAACGACCATCCCCGAAAATTATTTTTCTTAACTTTTTTTTGTTCAAGGGGTTAGGGTCGGGGTTTCGCAACCCCAATCTGCAACCCACCCCCAACCCCCTCTCCTCTCGGCAGCTGTGGGTCGCAACAGGCCGTGACCGCAGGTGTTTCACAGGAAAGGGAGGGGGAGGGGGAGAGAGAGAGAGAGAGAGAGAGAGAGAGAGAAATGGACAGACAGACATACAAATAGAGAGAGAGAGAGGGTAAGTCTCGAACCTCGCGGCTGGCCTCATGGTATTTTTATAGATAGGATGAGCAAAATCTAACGAATCTATGGCTAGAAAAGGAAAATATACACTGTCGGACTTGTTTGTTTGTTTGTTTTTGTATGTGCGTGTGTGTGTGTGTGTGTGTGTGTGTGTGTGTGTGTGTGTGTGTGTGTGAAAGAAATAAAGAGATAAGAGAGAAAGAGAGAGAGAGAAAGAGAGAGAGAGAGAGAGAGAGAGACGAAGAGACGAAGAGATAGATAGATAGATAGATAGAGAGAGAGAGAGAGAAAGAGAGAGAGAGAAAGAGAGAGAGAGAGAAAAAAAAAAAAACATAAAAAAAAAAAAATACTACGACATTGTTAGGGTTACAGTTTGCAATTGCATTTCAAACTGCGTTCAGACAAGGCCCAAGTTTCAACTTGGGCTGGCCTTTTCTAACAGTTAAATCAGGCACGTGGTTTTTTTTTTTT